CCGGTTCCAAAAGATAAGACGCAGGTTAGAGCATTTTTGGGGTTGTGCTCCTATTATCGGCGATTTGTGAAGAACTTTGCAGATATAGCCAAACCTCTGCACAAGCTAACCGAGGGGAAGCGACATTTCTACTGGGATGAAAGTTGCAATATCGCATTCCAGGAGCTCAAGGACCGTCTGTGCAAAACACCTAGTTTGGGATACCCTGATGCAAGCAAAGAATTTATAGTTGACACAGACGCAAGTAATACAGGACTTGGCGTTGTATTGTCTCAACGGAATGGTGACCAAGAAGTTGTAATAGCGTACTTCAGCAAGTCGTTGTCAAAACCGGAAAGGAACTATTGTGTCACAAGACGCGAATTGCTAGCTGTGGTAAAGTCCTTGCAGCATTTTAGCAAATATCTTCTGGGGCGGAAATTTCACTTACGAACTGACCATGCTGTACTAAAATGGCTATTGCAGTTTAAAAATCCAGACGGACAAGTTGCGAGGTGGATTGAACTACTGCAGGAATACGACTTTGAGATCGAACATCGCAGCGGGAAATCTCATGGCAACGCAGATACATTGTCAAGAAGACGTTGTCCTGAAGATTGCAACCATTGTACTAGGCAAGAGAGTAAGGAAGTGGTATCCGTGAAGATGCTCAGGACAGACCACCTCAGTAACTAGTGGAAGGACAGCTTACCACATGGACAGCAGGAAGATCCGGACATCAAGTCGATTCTGGGCCGTAAATGGGATAAAGGCCAGTGCTCCCAAGCCCAAGTGGAGCGACGTCTCAGCGATGAGTTCGACCACTAAAAGCTATTGGGCCCAATGGGACAGCTTGCTTCTTAAGGATGGAGTTCTGCGCCGTAAATGGGAAAATGTTCGGATAGACAGCTGTCATTTGCAAATGGTCGTCCCTAAAGCTAGAGTACCGGATGTTCGACAGCTGTACCATAATGATTGTTCAGGAGGCCATCTGGGAGTTAAACGAACTCTACTGAAGATTCGAGAACGGTTTTACTGGGTCCATTGTCGAAACGATGTCGAGGACTGGTGTCGCAAATGTACAAGTTGTGCGGCTGTAAAGGGACCTCAGACTCGTAGTAGAGGTGCATTGAAATTGTACAATGTTGGTGCACCATGGGAGAGAATAGCCATTGACGTGGCGAGGCCATTTCCGGAGAGTGAAAGCGGTAACAAGTATTTCATGGTTGTGATGGATTACTTCACTAAGTGGCCAGCAGTCTTCGCCATTCCAAATCAAGAAGCTTCAACAGTTGCAGATAAACTAGTTCATGAAGTCTTCTGTCGTTTTGGAGTACCTTAAGAGATTCACAGCGATCAAGGAAGGAGTTTTGAGTCTCAAATATTCCAGGAAACTTGCCGAGTTATGGGTACTTATAAAACAAGAACGACTTCTTATCATAATGATTTCTTAAATTTACGCGAACACTACACATTGAATAAAACTATTATTTACGGATTTTATCGCGTTTAATTACTTTAATTTATTTTTATTATTATCCCGACGTTTCGGGTGCTTTACAGCGCCCATGGTCACGGGGGGACCTTCTTATCACCCGCAATCTGATGGAATGGTAGAACGATTTAATCAGACATTGGAGAGGTACCTAGCAAAAGTTGTAGACAATCGGCAACGAGATTGGGACAAGCACATACAACCGTTTTTGTTATATCGAAGCGCTGTTCACGAAAGTACAGCAGTGACACCAGCTTTCGCAAACTTTGGAAGAGTATTACGGCTGCCTACAGACCTGATCACCGGGATACCACCTGATGCCCCACGCTGTATAACCGAATATGCAAATGACTTGCGGAACAAAATGAATGACATTTATGAGCACGTCAGACAATCGGGCCAGCAAATGTCCGAAAAGATGAAAACCCGTTATGACCGCAAAACGAACAACAAAGGTTTCGACGAAAGTTCACTAGTGTGATTGCACAATCCAGTCCGCAGCAAAGGGAAATCTCCTAAGCTTCAAGCTAAATGGGACGGCCCGTACTGGATCGTGACCAGGATCAACGATGTAACCTACCGGATACAGAAAGGCGCAAGAGGGACTCCTAAGATCGTCCATGTGGATCGCCTGGCGCGTTATTATGGGGCCGATAATGCTCGGGACGAGCATTTCTTAGGAGGGGGCAGTGTTGCGCGCCTAAGTTGACGTCTGGCACAAGCGCCATCTAGTGTCGGGTAACAAAGCGAGGAGAGCTTTCCAGAAAATAACATGACTAATATTTCGACCGACAGCGCCATCTAGTATCGAACAGAAGAATTAAGCTTTCTAGAAAACCCCACACTCGAACTTTCTGCGCCTGGTCGGTTGGCGCGCGTATTTACTTGAATATTCTGGACGTTTCGGTGAAAAATGTGTATTTAAAGGCGCTGCAAGACGCGGTCGGGGCAGTATTGAATTTGGCGAGACAAGCAAAGCTTCGGAGCGAAATAAAGTGAATCAGTGTGATTAATTATTAGTGTCTTTTAAGTTTTAATTAGTGTAAAGTGAATTAAAGTGTTAATTTTGGTAATTCAATCGGCAGTTTTTATTGTCACGAACCCTAAGCTCGTAACAATATCGTTGCTTAAATTATAACACTGCGGAAATCGGAATACGTAACTTTTGAGGAGAGAAATAATTTTTTCAATTTGCATCAAACAACTGTTTAAATTAGTTTTATTCAATATATGAATTAAAATAATGTTTAATTCATGTAGACACATTTATTTTTAAAACAAAATGAGTTTATAATTTTTTTTTTAATAGAAGGGAGGGCAAACGAGCATGCGGCTCACCTGATGTTAAGTGACTACCGCCGCCCATGATCAACTGCAACACCAGGGGAATTGCAGGTGCGTTGCCGGGCCTTTAGAAAGGAGTAAGCTCTTTTCTTGAAGGTCCACAGGTCGTATCGGTCCGGAAAAATCGCCGGTGGTAAACTATCCACAGAGAGGTCGTACGCGGAAGAAAACTCCTTCTGAAACGTACAGTGGTGGACCGCCAAGCATCCAGATGGTGTTGATGGTATCGGGACGTTTGCCGCGTAGTGCGTTCACGAAATTTGGCACTGGAATTAATCCGAACAATTCCTCAGAGCACTCCCCGTGATAGATGCGATAAAATACGCAAATTGATGCAACATCTCTTCACAACCCCAGTGAATCGAGCCGATCGGAAAGCACACGGTCGTCGATGATTCGAGCCGCTCTGCGCTGGATGCGGTCAAGTGAAAGGAGCTGGTACTGGGGAGCTCCAGCCCAGAGATGGAAACAGTATTCCATGTGCGGCCGAACCAGCGCCTTGTAAAGTTGCAGGCGGTGTGCCGGCATGAAATACTGTCCCGCTCTGTTGAGCACGCCAAGCTTTTTAGAAGCCAATTTGGTCTTCTCTTCCAAGTGACCACGAAACTGCAAGTCAATCGATATGCCGACGCCGAGGATTCCGATACTGGCTAAGGCAACAAGAGGTGTGCTTTGAAACTGAGGAGATACGACAAAGGTGTTCTTTTTAGCTAACTAAACTTGAACTAAATGATTTTTTTATATGTTAAGGGCGTCATAATCGCTTCAGCGACAAAGCTCTTTTTTTAAGAATAAAAAACGATTTGTAATTTGTATGACTTACACCGTACCGTAGACAGAGAACTGTCTATGACTTACGCCGTGTTGCCTTATTTTTTTTAGAAATAGGACGTACACGATTAAACAATGAAGTGCCTTTAATTACAACATTTTAACACTTAAAACTTTTTATAACTTATGGTTTAACTATAAATTGCACACTAAAATAACATCGCGAAAAAACAGTAAAATTCATAAACAATTTTAAATTCTTACAAAACAGGCAGTCCTATTATGTTATTACTAGAGTTTAGTCTCAGAGAGTCGTCAGCATCACAAATCTATTATATAATTAGAAAAAAAAATTAACATTATTTCAACAGTATGTTGTTATTAAAACTTTAAATAAAAAATGTGGTTTTAATAGGTATTTTCAATTCGGTTTCCTGCTTTAAAATGCCAGCATGTGTCACACTGATCTTTCTTCGGTTGAAATAAACTTAGATTTTGTTCTGTAAATATTTTGTCAAAAGACCTGAAGAGAGATATTTTATTAGTACACCTTTTGCAATAAAGGCTGTAAAGATGATTTTTATTTTCTATAATAGGCTTTAAATAATGCCTGGTTGAAGTGGCTCTACAGTAGTAGGGGGGGCCATCCCAGTATCCGACGTTGATGACCAATATCGCACTGTCCACTCTTTAATATCAGAGGTATTTAGAAAAAAAATGCTGACATACCTGAACACGGCCATCTGAAGTGGTTAAAGATATTGTTTGCTCTCACCACGCCCAGTTACTACAGTTGGGTATATTTCAATATGTGAAATAATGTACATATTGTAAATATTATATTTTTTTCATGTAATTTGTGAAGAGTTGCTTTCGTTTTTCCTGTGCTATACTATCACACGCACTAAGCTTAGATTTGGCAGAATTCAGAAGTGCATGCACTGGCTATTTCACGGGCTGGTCTTATTGCATCATGAAGAATCTTAAACTCTTTTTCTCTACTATCTCAGAATTTTGCAAAAATTTTTGGCAAATTTTTTCTTGTTCGCACAGCCTTTCTAGAGCCTTTTCTGCTGGCGCTAAGGTCGCCGTATTCTTCAGTCTCTTCAGTACCTACCTGGTATCGTGTTTACAATATCATCTTATACAAATAATAGTCTTCTTTCTTCTTCTTCAACTTCGTTGGGTCAGAGAAGAGGCGAAGGCTTACACCGTTGGTTTAGCTTCTTCTAACTTAAGAAATGGGATATCATCTAGCGGCGTCGACAAAATACAGAATCAACGGATACAAATTCCAAACTTTCAACCGTTGTAGACGTACATGAAGAGGTTAAATACAGTATTTATTACTTTATAAGTTTGGGGATGCGGGTCTACAGCATCTTCAATCGCCAGAAACTCAGAGAGACCTTTAGACGGTTCCGGCACATTTGACAGTGCAGACAGTATGAGGCAAGGGGAGTAGAGAAAGGTTTGCGTAGTAGAAAAAGTTGGTGTATATTTCAAGGGACTGTTTTAAAAGTGGTGCGTGAATCACAGGCTGTATCTCCTCAGCTGCTAAAATAACAGGCAGATTATTCATGTCAATATTTTCAATATTCATTTTTTGTTGTTTATTCTTCCCTGGTATATTTATGCTTAGCTCTTTGCACAAGTCAATAACATCGTCATCACTGGATTCGTAGTCCATGGTGTTTATGTTAAACACCGCGCAAGTATTTTTACAATTAGCTTGTAACACTGCGTAACTCATTACGTAATTCTAACAAACTTTTTTGTTTTAAATATAAGTTATAACGAAAAAATAACACTAAATAAACAATTTAGATTATGTAGATAAGCTAATAGCAACACCAATGTGAATCATATTTAAGTACCTTATTTTTCGGTACAATTCTTCGGAGCACTTGTCGCGAAACGACTAACTATGGAATAAAACTGAGTTACGCGCTGTTGTTCTGCAGTTCTGTACAACACACCGATACACTCAATGTTTTTCTTTTAGATTAACGCCTCAACTCTCGTGTTCGATTCGTACAGTAGTCGCATATGATGTGTAACTTCTGACATCCCATCTTGGTAATAAGCAAAATTACTTAACACTATATCCTAAAAAAATATTTGTTTATTTTTTAAATCAAAAATTTAAAAATATCAATTGAGCAGCGATCTGTTGTGTATCTGTTGTGAAAATTAAAAAAGCTAAATACTGAAATATTCGAATAATTATTTATTATTACTCACTTGCATTTTTATCAATGATCTGCACTTTTTTCAGACCCGTATTATCAACAGTGAATACAATTATTAATATAGTTTACACATATAAAGTAGTTCATATAACAGCAAACTTTAGTACCACCGCGAGGGCTCATTGGGCAAATCAAATAGCGCGCGATTCCCCGACTTCCCCGACACTCCGCGCGCGTTGTCGGGCAAATCAAATAGTACGCGCTTTCCCGGCTTCCTGTTACACACTTCCGCCCTTTTTCAAGAAATCACTCCCACAGACTGCAGGCAGTGGCGAAGCTAGAGCTCTAAACTAGGGCAGGCCCAAGATATGGTTTTGTTGGTTTTAGCAGTTTTACAAAATACACCAATCTTGATCTGTCTCCACTCTTCAGTTTCATATTCAGTGTTGTCGAGGACGTATTTAACAAAGCACACAAAAGGCATAACTACTGCTAAATAGATTGTATGACATATCAGCCATCGCATACCTTCGATGGCTTTGAAAAAAGCCGTTTGGGTTTGCTTGAGCGAGAGAAAAAGATATTTACATACAATACAATATATGAACAAAAGAAAAGCATGAACAAAGTACAAACAACAACATGTAGATACATAATTTAAAAAAATATTTATATTCTAAATCGAATCGTCTCTCTTTCTTAAGGATAGATTTGATTACGTCCGCGTAAAATGTTGTAATAATAACTGTTTTTCAATTGCGATAATTCTCAACAAAGTTTAAAGATTTTACCCTTTCCTCGCCGATTATCACCTTAACACACTTCAATTTTGAAATCAGGAAAACTGCTATCCCCCATTTTCACTAAAAATCATTAAAAAAGCATAAATTTTCAACTCTCAATATTCATTCGCTTATGCTAAACACACAGAGTAAACATTGAAATGAAGTGAACTTGCAAGCGTATCGGCCGCGCATCCCCGCGCTCGACTAACTTCACGCCGAAAGACTGGCTTATATCTAATTGCTATATAAACAATCGTAGTTATATTTAATTAAAGAACATTTTGCCACAGCTTAGAAAGGGACTGATCGTCTACTCGAAAGTCCGGTAAAAAGACAACACGTGCGAGAGAGACGACTAATCGCTCAATTTAACTACTTTTTTATATAGCAGTATCGTTAAGGCTACGAGGTCATGACCTGTGTAGAATAAAGGAGCGCGCGGGAAATCTGAAATAGTTTGAAACAGTTTACGAGTTATTTTATTAGTGGATATTATTGATTGAGCAGTTTGATAGGGCAAGCCCGGCTTCTCGACTTCAATGGAGGCTTCGCCGCTGATTGCAGGAAAGTGAGAGGAAAGATCTTACACATTAAAAATAAAGAACATACATTAAACACAACAAAAACCTCAAAATAAAGAACAATTTTTTTACGTAGTAGAGCCATGCTGCAGTTATATTAGTAGTATAGTTGTAGCACGAATTTGTCGGCTCGACTGGGGAAGGACCACGCTCTCACGGAATGCCAGCGTAAAATAGTAGCTTAATGCTGCTGTGTTTCGCATGGTGAGTGTAGAGAACCGGAGACCCTTTTTACTGGAAACAAGGCATTCCATCTTAGTCCTCACGGGTGACAACGCATCTGCCTTTTGGTTCGTAATCAAAGATAGATTTAGATGTCTATGGGCCATAGCAACCACTTACCATCGGGTGGACTGTGTGCTCGTTTGTCACCCTATCCTATAAAAAAGGCATGTCGAATTGCAAACCTCCCCATTTTTAAAGTCATATTTAAATAGGATTTAATTCATTTGAGTGTGTTCCTGGCGTGTTAGTGTAATGTTGTAGTGTATACTCGTAATAGGCGGGCTGTTAGACAGAACAGTTAGAAAATTACATTTCCCTTTATACTGTAGCGTAAATTGTTGAAAATGCTTGTTAACTCTAGTCACCTTTAGATAATTGTTTGCTGAATTGCCTTATTTCCTTGATGTTTTTAAGTCTACGTCTAAGATACTGTTATTTAGTGGTATCCAAAATGGTTGATAAGATGTTAAAAGTCAGCAAAATTAAAGCGTCACTTGAGGAAGGTTATCAATTTTCTGTTTCGTAGAGGATAAGCAGTCACCGCCCAGCCCGTTCCTTTAATTACTCTGTGAGCACAGACTAGCTTCACTTGAAATTGTACAGCATATGTTCAAGAGGGCTGCGGTAGAATATTGTTCTATGAAGTCAAAATAGTGGCGAGTACAACGAAAACTAGGGGAACGCTTTGCAGATGTGTTTTGAAGAAATGACCTCCTCTGGCTCCGTGATGATTATTGTGTTTAAAACGATCACGCACATTAGTGGCTGTTTGATCTTTGACATCATTTTTTATTGATTCAATCGAAATTCAATGACAAAATAGACGGAAGCGACTTATTCTTTGCTTATTAACGACGGGCATCGACGAGTATTTTCTGCAAAGAGGTCGGCGCCACTCTGGATTGACGTGAAACATTTGACTTTCAGAAGAAGTTAATTTGTTTGGAAAAAGTGAAGGTTAATGTTTCTTTACGAAATATTAGTTATATTTTATATTAATTAGATGAAAATGAATAAACTAAGCAACGAATATAGTTGGACATCCGGTTAATATGGTCACTTTCATAAAACTCAAAAACTACAGCCTCGTTCGCATAGATGGCTTTGTGAGTCGATAGCTCCTCATCAGGCAATCAAATAATAAAGGGTTAAAAGGGCAATGTTTTGTCAACGCCATTTTGACAGACATTATAGTAAATATTTTAGTCCATTTTAGTATGGAGTAGTCTAGTTAGTTTTTTTTTAAGTTGATATTTAGAACTTATTTTTTTTCTTAATATATTAGTTATAGTATAAGACTTTGTGTTTTTGTCTCTCTCTTTCTCCTAGTTTTGGTTTTAAAGGGCGGTAAAGCTTAAGGTGACCATATTACCCTCACTTACCTTATTCTTAAAAGTAGACAAATTAAACGAAAATTGAAATGTCTAAAATAATTAAATAAACCGATTTTTTTATTTTTAAACGCAACTTTTCAATGAAAATAACACTATTTAACCCTTTCTCCTGATAAATAAGGACACCTTAGTTCAAACTAGCGACATCTGGTGGGCATAAATTAATTAGCCCTCATTAACAAGATTCCAAGGATACAAGATACTTAGAATAATCACTAGGTAGGTGGCAAAAGAGTTTATTTATTTATAATATTTATTGCACAGTAAGTTTCAACTCATCTGCATTTTGATTCATAATTGAAGATAGATGTAGATGTCCATGGGCTACGGCATCTGCTTACCATCTGATGAACTGTGCACTTTTGCTGACTAAAAAAAACCAACATTGTTGCTGATCCTGCCGCAGGTGTGGTACTTAATCGGGGTAGATTCAACCTTGATTTGGTCACTCCTGTAAGACTGCATTACGCAGTAAGTAGGAGTGTTATAAGCCTAGGCTGACGCATTGACCTCCCGTGGCCCTGATGGTGGCCTACTATTGTACTGAAGACGTGTTCTCCGTCAGTTGGCACCGGTTCGGACGTGTCTTCTCCAGTACTTCAACACCCTAGGCGTAGTTCCGAATTCATGAAAGATAGCTTTAGCACATTCGATCTCTTAAAAAGGTGACCAACTATAGGCTTATCGTCATCACCTTCTTGTTCTCTAAAATAAAACCGCCAATACGGTTGCCGTTGGGGTCGCTCAGTTGGTGATCATATAGTTTACTTGACTTAAAGATGAGCAGAGCTATATAGCAAAGGCCTTTGACCGGGTTTGTCACAAAGCGCTTATTTCGATGTGTCCTTCCTATGGGCATACCGAAAAATTATGCAATCAGATCACCGGTTTTGTTGCATATCGAAGCATAAGCTTATTCTTGATATGCAGATATCAATGATATGTTCCAAACGAGTAACAATCATTGCAATGCAGATGGCAGTACTAGTTATGCTTTTTACATCAGCCGTACCAATATTTCTCTAGAAATATGTCATCGATTTCCGAAACAAATATGTTCTAGTTTTATACACGTAAGAATCATGCAGCTATATTATGGTTATATTACGAATAGATCGGCTTAACCGGAGAAGGGCAACACTTTTATAGAAAACCAGCGTAAAATAGAATCTGAATGCTGCTTGTTTCGTGTATTGTAGAGATCTGAAGACCCTACTTACTGGAAACGAGGCATTCCATTTCAGACCTCCAGAATGACTATGATTCCTATTGGGGATAGACGTAGATGTTTACGGACCACAACATTCACTTACCATCAGATGGACTGTGTGCTCGTTTGTCACCCTTATACTTTAATAAAGTCAAGTTTGTGTTAAACAAAGTCTGGGACTGGAGATGACTAAATTTAGACTAGTTTAACCTAAGGTTTGCGAGCTTACCGCTAAAAAGTATCCCTTTTGTGTTCTCAATTTTAGAGCACTTCCTTGCATTCTCAACCAGCACGATGTTCAGTTCCGCAGTCATTTGTAAGGGAAGACTACGTTGGCCTATATAAAGCTTGACGTTCTCAGTAGAACGGGACAGGATTTCATACCTGCACACCGCTTGCAACTGTGTAAAGCGTAGATAAGTATGGCCTTGCGTTATGTCTTGGCCATGGAATACTGTTCTCATTTCTGGATCGAGGCAACCCAATACCAGCTCCTTCCACTTCCTACCGAGTTCTTTCTGATCAGGTCGATTCACTAGCATTGCGACGAGATGTGAAAATTTCCATCGTATTATCATTCCTTTGCAACATCTAAGGAAGGAGGAATTCTTCAGATTAATTTCAGCCGTCAAATTCCACCTAACATCTGGATGCTTGGCGCTCAACCATTGTGCGATTTAATGGGAGTTTTTCTTCTCACACGACTTCTTTGTAGAATCGGCAGTTGAAATTCCCTTAGTATTCCACTTGTTTATAGACGGTGGTTGACATTGACCATCAGGTGAGCCGCATGCTTGTTGGTTCCCTCTTATATAAAAGACAATTAGAGGAAGGTTGAAACGCGGCCTTCCCGTTAGGTTTTTATGTCAGGTACCGCATTAGCTTTAGGTTAGGTAGGTAAGGCGTACATTACACGCTCATGCAGGCTGTCAGTTTTGCAACAATCACGGTTGTGATTGACTAATAACCTACCGTGTGATGCAGTGCAGTGTAAATGCAGTGATGATGACGCCTGCATGAGCGCGTAATGTACGCCTATCAGTCACCTTCCGTTTTTTATCAATCATGATTGATGGAATTGATTGACGCCTGCATGAGTGTTTAATGTACGCCTTAGAGTGCAAAATGTATTAGTAGCTAATTAATAGTTATTATCATTTCTTCTGTGGTAGCGTAACCCTATTTCCTTCCATGGGTATCGTAAGATGACTCGGAAATACCACATTTAAAGATATTATGATACCCGATAAATGGCGTTATTTATCATCTCGCATATTATGATGCAACGATTAGAATTTATACCATAAGAGAGCTGTTTTTGTGAGACGTATCCTACTGCGATCGTACGATGTAACGATTGCTACATGACCTGCCTAAAATGTTGTATATAGCAATGGACTGATCACGGGCTCAGGAGAATGAGAAAGTATTGATTATTATATCAATTGGAACAATATCTCTTTACAGTGCTTGATTTGAATATAAATTAATCTATTACAATCGAGTTGATCGAAGCATCATTATTTTGTTTACATAAGTCTTTTAATTTTCCAGCAAAAGTAGCATCATGAGTCATTCATAATAAATAATTCACATGAATATATTAAATACTAGAAATATTTTAAAAATCTCGCAGAAAGCTTAAAATAAAGAGCGTATGCGACACCAAATTCTTTATTTTTAATAGGCCAAAATGATAGGACTTTTATCTAACAGTCGCTTATTAATCTATCTTACTATAAGTATCTACAACATGTCTTATAGTCACAAAACAATATTAATTAAATAAGGCAACGACTATCTCTTAATTTTGTAAACAATTTTTATTATATACGTATGTGTACATAAGTTTTTAAATTAAATTTTTAATTTTACATAATTTGTTTAAAACTTGAACACTTGAGAGGCTGTGACATACACAAAATTTTATTTTAAATAGAAGTTATTAAGAAATTTACAATATAAGTATTGTTTTATTTGCGGATACGTACAACAGTAGACAATACGTAGCTGTTATATCAAGCTTTTGATGCCATTACCGAGTGTAATGTGTCTTATTACATATATATTAAATGATAATAAATTGAATTTCATTTATATTTACAATAATTATATTAACCTGTTTGTAGTTACGTTTGGGTGTCTCTTCGATAACAGCACCTTAATATTAATTCAAACACGTATCAGTAAAAATATTTATACGTAACTCTCTAGTGAAGTAAATGCTATGATTCCATATCATGTATGTACATTTTATTACAACGTTACTTACAATATATTAGGATGTAACTGTATGTATTTAAGTAGACTGGTACAAAGATAAAGTAATTAAAATATGAACAACAAAGTTGTCACGCCTTTGGCGTTTCTGTGTTCGTACCCGAAACCATTACCTTTATTAATAAGCCGCGTGTGATATTACGTATATCAAAGCTTTATACAAACAGATCGCTCGCCTGTTCGGCGAAGTCCTTATCTCAAATAGTGTAGTATTCAGGTGCGAAGTCGTTAGCGAGGTTGCTCAAGAAGTGGAAGTCTGAGGAAGAGTTGGAATTTTCCCCGGTTGCCGGTGTCCCGTGCGTTGCTTCGTAAAATTGTTGGAAAGATCCATAACCATCGGCGCATTCTCCACTGCTTCCATAGGCCTCGTTCGGAGCTGGTGGTTGAACGCTTCCAGGACCGTATCCGGCTGGAGTAACCGCGGCCTGCTGGTTATAATTACTCGTGTCGCTCCATCGACTATATTCGTTTCCAGGTGTATTCTTTTGACCTTCTCCTCCATAATACGCATGAGCATGTTCGTGTTGTGCACTCTCATGATAATGATAGCCGTAGTGGCTGTTAGAATATGCCATATGCTCCCCTGGATAACCCTGTGGTTGGTCGTACCCCGGATGACCGTAGGCTATTTGCTCCTTTCCGTAAGCGGTATAACTGTAGTTTTGATACATTTCATGGGGATATGCTTGTCTACCGACACCATTGGTTGATCTAGTTGAAGGTGAACCTTCTTGAGGCCTAGTGTGCTGTTGATTGCGGGCGTAACTATGTTGTTCGACACCCTGCAAAGCAGGACCATATCCATCGTAAGTTCTGTTGCCCTGTGGGTATTGAGCTAATTTCCCAACGAATTGTTTTGTATCCATTCGAAAGTCTGCGTGAGGTCCAAACTGACCGGGTGGTACATTGCCTCGGATGACGTATGGCGGCATCGCATTAGGTACTGTTTGTGGATGAGGAGCTCCTGAAGGTACGTTCGGCGGTGACGGGCGTGGATAATGTCCAAGTGGACTTTGGTGCATGCTTGAGGGTGTACCGGGTGTAGAAGACGGTGTTAAACTGACAGAAGAAAATTTTCCCGTGTCGGCTACCCCTGCAACTGCTATAAGACCATCTTTTGAAGAAGACGGTGAAACTTTGCAGCCCGTTGCATCTAATGAAGGTGAACGCTTTCTTGACTCTTGTTTAATCTTTTTTGACAGAATTCGCGGTGCAGTAGCGATTGTTGCAACAGGATGCGCATCTCTTGAGTCGTCCTCGGCTAACTTATCGAGGGAGGACGAGGAAGCCACACTTGAAGCGCCGTCACTAGCAAAACTATTGTTGTTTGTTGCGCTCGGCGTGTTATTGTTCCTCGTGCGTGAAGTGAGTTCTGGTAAATCTTCAGCCGGCGAACACAAAGCACCAGGCGGTAACTCACATCCCTGACAGCTCTTTTTGCCGGAAAGCGGTCCGTCGTCGTCAAGGAATTTATCTCGCGCTTTCGAACTCTTCCCGCCTTCTGATGTTGTCGAATCCTTGTCATCTCCGTCTTCACTTTTACTTAGGGTTTGTCGTTTATGCTTCATACGTCTGTTTTGAAACCAGACTTTCACCTAAAACAAAAGAGTTCTTAGTTAATAAACATTTTAATAGTAATGAAACTTATAAATATAATATGTACACTAGTCACTAATTTAAGGCCAAAAATAGAATTGGAAAATTTTGTTGATTGTTTTGTGTTATTCATTTAATGACGATTACGATATTTGCTATTATACAATTTTCTTGTGGAATACGTACTTGATATATGTAACAATATACACTCCGGATTGGTACAAAGCAACAAAGTACCTATTCCTTTAGTCTAGTTCTTTTAATCTGATTTCTAAATATAAATTTTAAACAATGATGATTACTAAATTGTGTGTAAGTGTATTTATTAATTTAGTGATTGTTTCAGTACTTATTGACAGAGTGCTGGCGGCGTAAAATAAACCATCAAATCATTTCATTCAATTGGTGTCGTAAGAGGCGACTAATAGTAAATGCATGAAAGTGCTTATGACTTATGAGCTTATGACTTACGTTGTAACTATCTGTCTCCGTTACAGCCTATTAAAAAGTTCACTGCTGTACATAGGCCTCCCCCATAGATTGCCTCATAGGGGGATATTTTGTCACAGTTGCCACGCTTGGCAAGCGATTTGGCAGCCATAGTTTTTAATTTTTAGTCGTTATTAGGAAAATGCCACTGCCCATCTGATTTGTTTCTATCTGTCGCCTTTTACGACACTCACGGGATGATTTGGGGTAGTGGATATTCTTTAACCACCACTACATGGTAACTATCCAGTTTAAGCCAAATTTAAAATACCCAGGTCGTTGACCATCAGCGTCAAAGGAGCGAGGCACTTGGTCTTGTGTTCGCTAATCCGCCTTCCAAGTGTGGTGATAACGGGACCTGGCAATGTCCAGTAGTGGATATTTATGGGATGAGGAAGAAGTACTTATTTACCTTTTCTCATCATATGGACAATATTATCAGTTATAGTAAGCTGATTAATGTCAAAAGTTCGTTCAGGCAGAAATTATTTTAGTTTTTAACCAAACTTATATGGATTTATCTTATCCATAACATAATTTGTTTATAGGATATTATTTACCTGTCTCTCAGTAAGATCTAGTGAGGCAGCTATCTCGATACGCCTCGGTCGACAAAGATATTTATTGAAATGGAATTCCTTTTCTAATTCTAATAGTTGCGTGTTGGTGTACGCCGTTCGCAGCCTTCGTGGTAGACCATTTTCTGGAACAAAGATTTTTTAGTTAATGATTTTTATTGATATATTTTGTAAATATTTTGTTGTTTTATGATCATAAATAATAACTACTTAAACTAATTGTCAAAAAAAAAAAACAAAACCTTCATTGCAGTTAAGTTCGTATAATATTCTATACTTTTTATTTATGTTGGAGACCATTCCTGGAAACTTTAAATAACACAGGGCAGTGAGCTCAGTGCTTGCGGGTGCGCTTTCCTTTAATGTAATAACTTGATCGCATGTCAGAGCACCGCCCTTGACGCCATTGTGTCGAAACGGTACTTTTTATTTTACTACAAATAAGAATTGGAATTCGAAATTCAAATTACAAAAGGGCGGCGAATAATGGGGGGACAATGTTCGCGTGACGAGAACATGTAATTCGTGTGTATTGGCATAATTAGTGTAGTCGGCGTGTGTCGTATCGAGACGCAATACGTGACAAAATTCTATGATCCGTATTTTGAGAATAGCGTGTTGGGGTTGGTGGTGGTGGCGGCAGTTGATTGACGTAACTCGTCAGTTTCGTATTCGCTATTGGCCAGGGGTAGCTGTCAATCAAACTTATAGTGGCTCTCGGCTCCGCGTGACTACTCCTGTCCGCCCTTCTTAGGTATGAGTACGAGGTTGTATCGATGTAAGTGTTAGAATTACAAAATCGCAGATCGCTGATAAGATTATTTAATTTGCAACTTAATGATTTAATTTTAAGCTTTATTTCACTTTTTGCAGTTCATATAAAAAGTTGTGTTTAATTTATTTCTGACGATGTGTTAAAATGTTTATGTTGTGTTAAGAGTTAAGATCACCTAAAATGAGAAGCAAAAGTATTGATTGATTGGACTGCAATTCACTATACACACTTGATTAAATTATGTGTAGTGTATTGGTTTGATGACCCCTAAAATACTAACCTTTTAATATTTTTATAAATATATGCTATTGTAAATATAGCTGCATAGATTATAAAACATATAAGTAAATGTATAGTTTAGTAACTATTGACCGTACCGTGCGTAGGTAACCGTAACTGCTTTAAATTATCATCAGTTAACTGGAGTCTAAACTTGATAGCCCTTGGTCAGCTACTTGACTAACAAACTGAAGTGGTATAGTTGATAACAAAAGCGATATAACGTTTTCAGTGCGAGATATGATAGTATTGTTTTATAGTTGTAAATTATGGTTTAGTTGCAATTGTATATTAATTAATTTGATAGATAATCAAATAGAATGTGGTGATTTGTGGTGTATGTAATTTGTGTATATTGAGTAGCTCTACCTTATTCAATGCATAGGGTGCTTATAATATATTTGACAAGCATTTGAAGAGTATCTTGTTACTACAGAACAGGTCCCGGTTTATTTTTTTACGTATGTAAGCTAGTGCATGATTACAATCCCACTTGGGTAAGTGGTAATGAAGCTTTGAATGAGAAATTGTACTTTTTGGCGTAACAAAAGGCTCACCTACCTACACCTACCTGCTCTTGTCTTGAAAACCATAATTTAGTAAATAAGAGGTAGCGTTTGTGCAAAAACATAAATTGTTCGTTTTTGATTTATTATATGTTAAAACTACTTTTACGGATTCGCGTTTAATTTTAATTATTTTTAATTCCCGACGTTTCTTTCCAGCATCCGAAACGTCGGGAATTAAAAACAATTAACATTAAACCCGATAAAATCCGTGAAAGTAGTTTTAATCAATGTTGATTTTCGAGTTTAGTTTTGTTGTAATAGCTTCCGTGTCTGACATTGCTCTCTAGCCTTCTTGAAATTTCATGGCATTCGTATTATGAAGGTAGCTCAGCCGAGTCTCTGGGTTTGCGTATCTATATTTGTGGAAGTGGAGCTATAACATAACTTGCGCACCTGATAGTTTTCAAAAGTATTCGGAATCTATTGCAATGATCGTATTTTACCTGAAGACTATAACATCACTGAAGAGAGACTCAGGACAGTACAGTTGTACAGTTTGAACTCAAACTCCACAATATTAAAAGTTTTATCTCGAGATTGTCTCTGAATACCGCCATCAGAATATTAATTGTCCTGAAGTATTGTTCTACTTAAAATAAGATATCAGGATCCTATATTTACTTATAACAAGCCAGTCCTTGAATACAATCCAACCATGTGGCAAGTGTTTTTTTACATATGTTAGTTTAGCCAAAGCCAAAGAAATTGAGATATTTTCGCTGGACTGTACCGAATATGATGAAAATTAGAACGATGCAAGTTAGGTTCATGTTTTTGCCTTGGCGTAATAAAGGCGATTATGCGAGCTTAAGAGGTACCGCGTATAATGTTCGCATTATCTCGATGTGGCATCTTTACGCATCACTGAACAACACCGTCCTTTGTTAGGGTTGCAAGGATAGTTCAAAAGAAAATGTAACTTTAAAGGTATTCGAGGATAGGATAAAATTTCTATTTATTATATGTCTTAATTTTATTTTTATTTATTTGTTAACTTTATCTTTTTGAGAACTGCTTCTGCGGCTCGTGATGCATATAGATGCGTTGTCTCCCGCTTGACGCCACGATGACTGAGACGAAATGGCTTGCAGCCTGTTTTCCTACTGCTTCTTTTACCCTTTAAAGAACACAGCAAGTGCAGGCAGATTTAGTACGCGTTTCTTGTACTTTAAGTACATGTAAAACGTGATAATTTATCGGGCTTAAAGTACACTGATCTGAATGTTTTATTAGTTACGTTATACTTATATAGTAAATAAATAAGAAAGCATTTAAATTTAGAATTTATTAAATTATGTTTTTATTATAGGATAGGGTGACAAACGAATACACAATCCATCTGATGGTAAGTGGTGTCTGTGGCCCATAGAAATCTACATCTATCCTCGATTACGAATCAAAATACAGATGTGTTGTCACCCGTGAGGACTAAGATGGAATGCCTCGTTTCCTGTTAAAAGGTTCTCTGTTCTCTACACTCACCATACGAAACACAGCAGCATTAAGCTGCTATTTTACGCTGGTATTCTGTGAGAGCGTGGTACTTCCCCGGTTGAGCCGACCCATTCGTGCTATATTATACTACTAATATAACTGCAGCATGGCTCAGTCACGTATATTTTATATAACCAATAAAAATTTATATAAACCAATAAAACTAAGATTTTTTGTAACCATAACCATTTTAGCCGATTTCAAAAAAAGGAGGAGGTTTTCAATTAATTGTGAACCGATTGTGATGATTCTATTTTTAATAAATAGAGTATATACTTCAGGAAATTTAGAATAGATTCAGAAAATTAACGTTAAAAAGTATTAGCCAACTTCAAGGAACTAAAGTTAATAAAACAATTTCACATTCAGAAGGCAGCCCTTTAATTATTCTATACCAAGAAACTCTATACTTTATGAGTTCTTTATTTTATACACTATATCTCAGCACCGAAGAATTTGAAAATTCAGAATTCAGAATGTGAAAATATTTTATTCCTTTTAATTCTTTGAAATCGGCTTTGAATCTTTTAAAGTAATTTTCACACTCACATTTCATTCGTATCGATATTTTCTTTATCATGTTCCGAAAGGGTCTCCAAAAGACTTTAAAAATATTAGAGTAAACCCTTGTTCAGTTATAAAACAAGTGGGGTAATAAATGGTTGTAGAATCGTGTGTGCTTGTTTAACCCTCCAGCGGGCCGGTCGACAACTCTCGGGTCGGGGTAAGCAGGAGCGAAGATTTACTGCGGATTAGGGTCACTTACAACGGTCAAGTCATGAGTTGACTTGTCGCACTTCATTTGATAATATCGCTGTAATTCGAGGTGTTATTGAATCAAGTATTGCAAGCTATAAAATTTGTAAACTTTTATTTGCTTGTTGCGATATCCTTCAGGCTGATTCCAGCGACGCGAAGTCCTAACCTACCCGTGCACTATGCGGCGCTTATGAAATCTGTGGCAAGTTAGAATACAGAGTAAGAAACACAAAAAATAACTTAAATAAAAAACCTTGCGCATGAAGATATTTTCTTTAAATAAAATACACAATTTACGTGGTTTGTAGCCAACAAAGATATGATAATTATAATAATGTTGTTTATGGTTTTTCTATTTATTTTCAATTTTATATTTGCTAAATAAAACTTAGATTTCTACAATAAGCTATAACAGTGTAGTGGCGGTGTAAGAATACCCAATACTCCATGTCATCCCATGGGTGTCGTGTGAGGTGATAGACGATAGCTGAACCAGGCGGTTTTTGACGTGATAGAGCCACGTTTGACGTGATAGAGCTACGCTGCAGCTATATTATGGTTGTAGCACGAATGGGTCGGCCCGACCGGGAAAGGACCACTTCAGACCACCTCTTACAGAATACCAATGTAAAATAGCAGTTCAATGCTGTTGTGTCACGTATGGCGGGTATAGAGAACCGGAGATCCATTTTACTGGAAACGAGGCATTCCATATTAGTCCTCAAAGATGAAAACGCATCCGCAATTTGATTCGTAATCGAAGATAAAGGTACCTAGAAGTCTATGAGCCACAGCATCCACTTACTATCAGGTGGACTGTGCGCTCGCTTGTCACCCTTATTCAGAAAATAAAGAAGATGTGCAGCAGCATCTTTCTAATTACAGCTGAATAAAATAAAAAAATTGCGATTCTCAACTCGCTTGCCAAGCGTGGCAACTATGGCAAATACCCACTTTATACCCACTCACCTTTTGTTCACCAGTGGATTGGCTGTAATGCTGTATATATGCTGTATTCTACTATAATTTAATTCCAACATTTAATAACTATAAAAATAGGTAAATATAGCTGTGAAGTTAATAAGACGTTAACGTTAAAATATATGATCATCATTTAGTTGGCGGAGTACGGAATTTTGTGCAGCGATACGAGTAGCGTAGTTGTAAACAATTTGCGAAAGACGTGTGTTGAATGAGCCCCCGGGGCAAGTTTGAATAATTAATCAACAGCCGGTAAAGGATTAATGCGGTGGCCAGTTGGCGGTTGGATGCCATTAGAGAACGTTCGATGCCCCTCACTAAATGCTGTGGTCACATTATTTGTGTCGGGCTACGGAGGTGCCGTAGGGTGCTTTAAGAACTGTTTAATTAATTTCCTCAGTTTCTTTGATTTTAATATAATGTTGTAGAATATTTGCGAAAAATTCCATAAAGTTGTAGAAGCGAATGTCACACGAAACACGCTGACTTCCCTATGATAAACTGCAAAACATTTATTTTGAATGTTGCCGCTGCAACAGAAAAGTTATCAAAAGGGGAGTTTTTTCACGAAGAAATATTACGTTATGAGGTGTGAAAGGCATAAATGTAAAAATTCAATATTTCAAGAGCGAAAAAGTAAATTTTTCCGCTATTTCTCGTCAGTAATAATGTCGTTCAGGGTGTTATAGGCAAAGTTATGGTATGTAATAGTTTATAACCCAGCTTCGTAATACAACTCTTTTTTTTTGGAAGATAAATCAAAAGAGGTTGATGTTATTTTGTAATTTAAAATAAAAAAAATTATAGATTGAGAATGGCAAACAAGCACACAGTCCACCTGATGGTAAGTGGATGCTGTGCCCCATAGACATCTACATTTATCTTCGATTAAGAATCAAGCAGATGCGTTATCACCCCTGAGGACCAAGATAGAATGCCTCGTTTCCGGTAAAAAGGGTCTACGGTTCTTTACACTCACCATACGAAACACAGCAGTCATAAGCTGCTTTTTACGCTGGTATTCTGTGAGTGCGTGGTCCTACCCCGGTTGAGCCGACCCATTCGTGCCACAGCCATAATAAAGCTGCAGAGTGGCTCTACCACGTTATTAAACTGACAATGAAATTGTGAAATATATTTTTAGATTTGGTTTTTGGTTATTGTCTGTTTTGATTTAATCTATGGGATATATAATTCCAAAATAGCTTTTATACCTATTTTATAGGTTGATGGATTTTCCTATGCTGCCACGATCATAGCAGAACCAGTAAAAATGTTACTATTATAATCCTAAAAGTCCGTGGTAGCTCAAAGGCGAGTGCTTAAATTACTATAATGAAATAAGAGGCATGTACTATACACGAAACAGTTGTTCGTTGTTGCTTTACTTTTGCTTTACTTTACTAAAATTTATTGCAAATCCAGAATTTGGGTATCATAAAACAGAATGTATCATTAAACTAGGTTCTTGAAAGTACTTCAATCGATCATAAAGAGACAGATTTGTTTTTTTCCGATTAGCCGTATCGGGGGCCCATTTGACATTGTCACATCAATTATAAGCATGGATTACCGAAGACAGATCTCAGACGGTTCAATTTGGGAACGGGTGGCTGTGTTGCTTGTGGGGTTGTCAGAGGGGAGACGCTATCAGGAAGTGACTCGAGATCCTCTTATCACTGGATGAAAACTTGATATTCCTGTTTCAAAAGAGATTCTTGGTTAGTTTTTCTACATGTTTAATACATATATATTTTTTCCTAAATTTAGGAAGTAACTAAGTAGGACTATCTCACAATTTATTTATAAAAAAATTAGAGATCCCTAAGAGAATTGCAATAATGTAACTCAAAGTAGCAAAATTTTGTCTATAAAATTCATTTTTTGGCTTTCGCTGAGTAACCTATTGATGATACATAAAAATTACGTACTGATTAAAGTACTCATTATTACCTACAAAAAAGTCCGCGTGGGAATATATCTATCATAGATAAGTCACAAGTGTAGAGTTGTGTGCTAAAATTTAATTAGATCGTCGGTGGAAATAAAAGTTCGTTACATTCGTATCAATTTTTCAAATAAATAGTTTTATCATGAAGGGTATTTATGAAGCAGTAAAATAATATTTAATTCATTCGAATAGGACATTAATTTTCGAATTTATGTGTTATAAAAATCAATTGCTCATTTAAATAATACCAGTTTTTACGCATTTTATCGCGTATATTTAACTTTTTAAATACCCGATGTTTCGAGCACTTTACAGCACCCATGGTCACACAACAAATAAAAAAATACAAAAGTTAAATTTTAATCTATGGTAACCGCGGTTAATTATGACATGTGGACGTTGAACATCTCAATCCCCCCCGTGACCATGGCTGCTATAAAGTCTCGAAACGTCGGTTTTATATAAAAAAGTTAAATATACGCGATAAAATCCGTAAAAACAGTATTATTTAAATGTGTAGTGTTCGCGTAAATATAAGAAATCATTAAAATCAATTGATGTCTGTATGTCTCGCTAAAACTCGAAAACGGCTTGTAGGATTTGATTTTTTGTGTGCGTTTGAGTGGGCTCCTGGATGGTTTCGGATCACAAGTGGACCCGGTAGGCG